GAACTCTAGTTTTACGTTTCAGGCATTAAGCATAGACTACAATGACCATCAGTTTAATGCATTACAGTGACTGTATGTTTACACACACAAACTCTCTCTGCAAAATGATTTATGTTTAACTTTCTATGCCATAGAGATTCCATCAGGTACTCTGGCAGCTAAATTTTTGTTAATTTGACTGAGGACAAACTGAAGATTTTCAAGTCTCAAATCAGAAAAATACAGAACAGAATTTGATTTCTAATGCCCAATCTTTACCCATACCATTTCTCACAAAAAAACAGCCACAGATGGTGGTCTGCTGCTCAATTCCCAACTCTTTCAGAGCTGACCAATGCAAAAATAGCAAGGATAATTTATTAGACCTCCATTTGAGCCTCCTCCTCCCATCCTCATTGGCTTTGATCATTCACGGTGGTCAATAACAGAAAAATAAGTTTGTTAGGGTTTTTTAAGATGAAAAATGAGGATAAAAATAGAGTAAAAACAACATTTCCCAAACATTCTCTTTACCTTGGCACTGCAGACTGCTACATTAGCAGGGAGCTGGGAAAACTGCTTCAACTCAAAGACGTCTCGTACTGCCCACCGACTCAAACGATTCTCAGCCTTGCTGGATCCAACCACATTCTGATTTGAATGAATATAAGCCACTTCTTGAACACCATCTGATGCATTATGAGAAAGATAAAATAAAAGATGTTAGTCATTTCAAAATCCTGGAGGTACACAGTTGCACTAAAGAAGCATATTGTAATTATAAAAAAGGTTTACCTGAAAGTTGTCCGTTCAGTTAGGATTTAAGAAGATAAGTAAGACCAGCAGGTAAAAAGAGACAGATATTGCTATATAACTTAATGGAATATTGATTTAAATTGTGTAACAAGCAGATATATAAAAGCAATAACTTAAAACTTGTCAACAGTGATAAATTAAACTTAAGTTACTATTTTAGATGAAACGAAAGCAAGGAAATTGAATGACTAATTACCTAAATATCTGTCCATTGATTCCACTCTTTGATCCTGATGGTCAGCTCCTGTTTTACTTACAGAAGTTTCAGGTTTAGCATAATTATTAGGCTTCCTTTGTACAACCGAGATATCTTGAGTATGATGGGGCATTTTAGACGCAAACCGAACTTTTCTCCTCTCGCCTTTACACTTATAGCTTTGTTTTCTGGCATGAGTTTTCTCAATTGGTAAGTTGTCTTCCGAAGATGAAAATTCATCTATATTCTGCGAATCACTTGCCCCCTCTCGTCTACTGGGCTTCTTTGCTTGCAGCAGAGTTTTGGAAAAGTTACCGAGTTCTTTGTTAAGGACGTGTCTTTGTTTCAATTTTGGAGAGCCCGAAGTTCTTAACATTCTTGATTCAGAGTTATGGGGGATTTCAATATCATCAGACTCATCACTGATGTCGCTTGCCCCTTTCAAATCTCTTGTGGTATTCTTAATGTCCTCCAAAGAAATGATTTTGCTGAAAGCTGACACAGTACTACCAAATCCAGGCTGCTTATCGTTTCCCTTAGATGTGAACCCATCTTTTCTTTTTGCTGACTTCTCATAATTTTCAGATGCTGACTTATATATTTCAATATTTTTAGTAAGCATAGGTTCCTGGTGAGCTGGAACTTGGGTAGGAAAGACGACATCATCACTCTCTTCAGCACTGCTTTCTGTTTCCATAACTATATCACTTTGCTTTGAAATGCATTGATCCTGATTTTCCCGGTCCCCTTCTTCCTCACTGTCTGAAAAAGACAGCCAATTTGAGGCTGCACCTGCACTATGCCTATCCTGTTTATCAGTTCCATTTGTTGATTTTGCACTTTTCCCATGCTCCAAAATATGGATAGGGGTTTGGTATTTGTGAAAATTATGACAGTTAGTATTTACATTTGTTCTTATAATCTGACCATCAGAACTTGAATGATGAGCATTATCATTACTATGACTTTCTTTGGTAGTATCAACTTCTCTCTGCAACAATTTAGAGAACCCACATTGCATTAAAGAAAGCTGTCCCTGTGTTACCATTGAAGAACTTGCAGTGTGAGGTTTGCTTCCGTCATATTTTTTCTTGGAAATTTCTAGGATATCATCATCACTAAAATCATCATAAAGATCTATTTCTTGCTTCTTTAATTGTGCCTTAATGCTTGGGAGAGCTCTATCATCTTCACAGTCTGGTTGTGCACACTAAAAAATGCAAAAGAAAAATAATTTACACCAAAGTTAGATATTGCAAACAAATAAGTTATTTAAAACATATATAACACACGGAACATACCTAATTCTGAAGCAATATAAAAAAAAAGGTGGATTTTCACTGTGTTACTCCATCCAAAAGTATAGAAAATAATAACACAATACACAGATAGAAAACAAATACAAAACAAATTGTGTTATATGAAAATATTTGGAAAAACAAAAATGAAAACAGCATTAAAAACTTTATTAGGCATTTGAGACAATATATGATGCCCCACTGTGAAAACAACCTGCACTTGCCCAGCCCACACCCCTGTTTTCTAGTTCTCATCAACCTTGCTGCAGCTTCTCATCTTCCTAAGGTTATCTGAAAAGTGACCTCATGATTCAAACCTAACCTCAGAGTGCAGTGACCAACCTCCTTGTATGCAGGAGCTAATGCTTCTAGTTTAAGAGAGCTATGAGTACATAACGTTCTGCTCTAAAACTAGTTGAGGCCTACTGTAATCAAACACAAATTACATCCAGATAACTCTGAAACACTCAGAAGTTACAGAAGTCCAGAACACAGCACCACAACTACGTAATACTCATTTCAATGAGAGCTATTTCAAAATGTAAATGGAAAGCCAGAAGGGTAAATACTAAACTTCTGTCCATGTGGAAAAGTCTTACCAATTAAATTTATATCCTTTAATCATTTAAAATCCTGATATAACCTTGCTTATCAATAAAGCATTTAACATAGGCTAAAAAAGTTAGTGGTTGTCACCCTGCATCTATGTGAGGTCATACTGACTTAAATTAATACTGACAATTACTCCCAAAACCCCCAGAAAAGTCAAGACATAAGAGATGGTGACTAATTCGCAGTACAGTTCAGTGGGATGTGATCATCTAAGAGTATTTTCACTCTCAGAGGCTACATTTTAGACCTAACTGTTCATTCCCAACCTATCTGAACGCAGTGTTCAGGCAAAAAAAAAATTCATGAAAATGTTTCCATTTAAACCTAACCTTTACAAAAAAAGAAAACAAGTTCAAAACAGAAACCTTTGGATACGTTATTTGCTCCTCCCCCCCCCCCCCCCCCAAAAAAAAAAAAAAAAAAAAAAGCCAGGATGGAACACACCACTGAAATGGTAAGAATCACTGTTCGTTAGACTATTTCAACTAAATGGTCAACCAGAAGTATTTGAAACAACAGTAGGTGTTAGAACCTCAACAGATTTGATCAGAAGGCTATTATACAAGCCAGTCATAAGATACAGGGCAACATGAAGTATTGCTGAATAGTAATAACAGCATGTTAGTAATGTCTTCATCCAGACTGATGATATCCAAGTATTGTGAACCTCAAAGAACACCATATTACCAGATGGTTATAATACTCCATTTTAAACACAGACAGCATGACCAGCAGACATAAAAAATGATGGCAAGTGCAATCTAAGGTAAAAGCATTACCAGCCTAACAACCTACTTCCCACATGTGCCACTGCAGGAGTTAGCACCTAGGCGCTGCTCTGGGTGTCACAAAGATACCTCACCTTTTCTGAGCTGTGTGGAGGAGTCTCTTCCTTTAGCCATGTCGTTGCTGTCATAACTCCCGCTTCTACTCGCCCTTCCCTCTAAAAGGAATCAAGAATGTTATATAACAAAATATATATAACAGGTATATAACTGTACCTGTGTGGTATAGTACTTCAAGTTATAAAAGGCAACCTGCCCCCCACCAGGAGAGGGTTTTCTTTCTAGAGAGGTATAAGTCTCAAGAGTAGAATCACCAAAGTCCAGACTAACACTCACATCTTGGCAACAAACTTTGTGCTCTTTTGATCTAGCCCATAACCAGCAAGCAATATGACATACTGCATAAATTGCGAGGATCTTGTGCATACACTGCTTTAATACTTTTAGACTTTTTTTTTCCATGGCAGAATGCCTGCTACAGTGTTTACAGTACATGCTATGTTTTAATTTAGGCCTCAGCAGAGTAGTTTTGAGCTGACTACATTACTCTTACTACTATGCACATGACTCAGATCCCAGCTTTTCCCCAGCCTCCTCCTTGTGTAGGCAAGATAACAAAATAAAGGGAGGGAAGGATGCAAAGAAACCTAGAATAAGGCGGCAATAAATTCCAAGACACAAGTCATCTGCAACAAACGTGCTGAGAAGAAAAGGGCATATATATTGCATATACTTAAACCCAGTTTACACTACACTTCATGGAACTGGGCCAACATTCTTCTTTTTAGAATAAGTAAGATGCAAATTCTGAAACATAAAGCCTTAGTTACCCACCTCCACCCTGCAAAATTTTTTAAATAAATATGGCATTACAGAACATATTTTATTAAACAGTTTTTCCTATCTCAACACATACTATACAAAGGTTACTATGATCATAAATATTCCAGGAAAGGAATTCAGGCTTAAAGGACAATGATAACTGAAGATGAATAAAAGACATCTGTGCTTAAAGTTAAAAATATGCGAAAATATCCCAAAAATCAGATATGGGATTTTAGCAGGAAGAGAGATGCATGAGCAAACTCTTACAAATTGCAATACAAACCTATTTTTCAGTTTTTTGTTTGATGCAAGGAAGCTTACATCAGATAGAAATTAGAAGGCCTAGTTCAGCTGAGGCATTGCATAGACAGGTGCTGCCAAGTTTCATCATTCCGTTTTACAAAGCACCTCCATTCAAAATTATAACAAAATACTTATGAGGAAAGGAAAATAAGTAAAATTAATATCCAAAAGTCAAAAGGAAAAATTTCACACCTCCAGAATGTCTTTGGTAAGACAGGACCCATGAGTCCTAAGTTTGAAAAGGTTATGGATCCCAAAAAGCTCTCCTTGATGTTCCTTTGATCCTTGTACTGCTTCAAAATACCGCTTGGCATTTTCACTTCCAACTACCACACAGTGAAGTTGCTAAAACAAAACAACACAAGAGATTTCAGAAGTGTTTGCTCCAACAACATGTCAGAATTTCCTGGCATCCACATTTATATACACAGCTTTAGTTGGAGCAGGCAGAAATTCCTAAGGGAGGATACTTTGTTTTAATTTCCCTGGCAGATGTTGTCATTGTGGTATAATATAAGCCTGACTGGTTTGACCAAGTAAAAAAATTAAAGATGTATTTCAAGTCTTCTACTTCGTTGTGGTTTACTATCAGACACCTAGTATACCCACTACTGGAACTCCTTTGTATCTTGACTACTTATCTTTCTTCAGTACTAAATTATCGATATTTTTTCATAGTCCTCATTGCACTGGATGCTTACTTGGTAAGCACTAAATCAAGTCATGACATTACTTCTACCGGTCTCTGAATATCTTAATTATCATGCACTGCTGCTAACTGGATTGAACAAAAGAGACTAAAAAAAGTCTTCCATGTGGAAGAGAAAAAGACAACTAGTCAGTCTGTCAGACAGAATTCAAACATTCTTGAAGTCAGGCAGGTTTAGTTGCTTTCCAATGACTGCAAATTTTCAATAATTGGTACAGTTGACTTGAGCAGGAGGAATGTCAAAACTTTATGGATATCAGATCTGTAATATTTTTTTGTAAGTGTCTTTAAGAAGTCAGTAGTTCTGGAGCTCTGCTCACTGCTAGTTCTCTGGCACTGAACAGGCTTTTTCCAAGACAGGAATCGTTTCTTGAATTATGTAAGCCAAGCAAAAACTTTTTAGCTAGGCAAAATTTACATCCTTCTCAAACTATGCATGGTATTTACAAAACTGCACTTCAGAATATATATATAGCTAATTTGGGATCACATATTTTAGATTTCAATTTTATTTGTTTTGGATTTTGAATCACATATGGCTCGGTCAGACAACTGACTACTGCTAATTAAAAAAATGCACTGATTTTAAGATCAAATACATCCCTCAGTAAAAATACAATACAACATGACAAAAGGTTTTTGCATAAATGCAGTTCTTACACAGGACAGACTACATTTAACTCTAAGCATCCATTTATACAGTTTACTAAAAGCCACATGTTCACATGCACTCATGTTTCTTAATTCTCAACAGCAGACGAAAAAGATGTTTTCTTCATGAATTACTGAAAATTCCTAACTGTGCCCAAATCAAGTGTCAATAGCAGGGAATGCAATTCAAATGTAGACTTAAACTGCAAAACAGAATCATTGTAAAAAATTTTTGGTTTTTTTACTTTTTTTTTTTTTTTTTTTTAAACATCAACTTGGAAAAAAAGGCTAAGAGCCTTTGGAAAAGAGTTTTGATACAAGCCTTTTGGAAATCCAAGCAGATAGTATCATCCAGGTCATCTTTATCCACAAGATCATTAACTCCAAAGACCTCAGTGAAGCATGACTTCTCTCCTTTAGGATTTTTAGCGAATACAGCTAGTCCTGCTAATCTGCTATTTCTCATTTTGTTAGTCTTTCTGAAACCTTTTCTACTGATACTTGTCTTTGAGACAAATCCTCAGAAGTATCTCCTGTGAGGAGAGCTTTGGTACAGGAAGCTCTCTAAGCCTCTTCATATTCACATTCATGAAAAATGTAGGTTTTTTGCTATGAACACTCTTTTAAACCTTGGTTAAGTAATGCCCATACAGATTCTCCAGCAAAATTCCTGCTTCTGACGTGCCTGAAAACAAATTATTTGCTTTTATGCTTTTAGCCTACTGTTCCTCAAAAATCTTTTTGGACTTGCTATGTTTTTAAACTTGACTTGCCTCATTAGGATGAATTTCAACGTTTAGTACAATGTCTGAAAATTGCCAGATTACCTAAGAACATTTCACCCCTTTACCTACTTTTTAACAAGTTTCTTCTTTTTATTTGTTGATTTTGCTAAAATTAAGTAGAACTAATTTTTTGCAGCCTTTGCAAGACACTGAATTTAAGTAAGCTACAGTCACTGTTGCACTTTTGATCGTAACATTTTAAAGCAGGTCGTATACACCACTGAGAGCAACTCAAGACTTGATCCTGCAGCTGTGGGTTTTCTGAATATCTGCTCTATGAAATCAGATATGGTGTCCAAGTATTTGATCTCAGATTCTTATTTGGCATTTACTTAAATCTATATGAGGATAATGACAAACTCACTATTAAGGCATTTCCCACTCATTCAGCCTCCAACCTCCTCCAACTGGTGACAAACCCTGTCCTGATCATAGGTGACTGCCACTGCAGACCCAGTACATATTCTTCCTACTTATGGCTGATAATTTGAAGTTTTAGGTTAACTTGTCAATTTCACAAAGCTTATTTTCTCATAGGGTAGCAGCTGCCCATTGAGGTAAGCTACTCTGTCCTTCCTACAAAACGTATACCTCAGAATAACTGCATCTCAGCGATTTCCTTGATTTCACCAGTTTATAGGCCCCCACTGTCCATACCTGAATTTATAACCAATCCTGTGTTCCATCTTACTGATTAGACTTGCAACTTTTGTGTAGAAAAACACGTCCATATTCTGTGCAGTTTCCTATTTGTCTGCAACCTGCTCTTTGTTGCTGATGTTTGCTGATTTTTTTTCCTATCTCATAAGCAAACAGTTGCTAGATAACACATTTCTCAAAGCACACACTCTTCTGTACTTCTTTGCTTTTTCCACTCTTTAGTTTAAAAACCTATCAAAGCAAATAAAAAATTCAGAGCCCAGAGCAACTCTTCCAGGCTAAGGATTCCCACAGGCAACTACTTCCCTTCGTAACAGCAGCAGCTACAAGCTAACCATTTCCCCTCCCCTTACACCCAAGCTTTTGCTACCTTTGCTCTTTTAAAGAGAGGCCTTTGCTTCTATTCTACAGGGTCAGCAAGACTTTTGCTCTCTCTCTTTTAACTCTTCAAAGGAAAAAACTGCCTGAGTCAAGCTGCCACAGATAGCATGATACAGCTAGCAGATACTGTTTTACATCTCTAAATAAAACAGATCTCTTCTCAGTATAAGCTGATGAATGTATGTTACCTAATTAATATGTCTAAAGTTACAGAAACACTTAGAATAAAAATACTGTTCCATTTTGTTTTTTGACAATTGCTAAATTATATAATTCAGGAAGTTAAAATAACAGCATAAATCATAAAAATCACAAAAATTTTGTGATAGGCTAGCTTAGCTTTCAGTCAAGCAGCTGAAAATAGTTACTGATTTAAATACTTCATGAACTTTACCTGTTTATAAACTTGTCGTAAGTACATCATCTCCTCCACAGTTCCCAAGGATATCAATCTAAACACTTTAACATCTTTGCATTGACCAATCCTATAAGCTCTGCAAAGACAATACCATATTGAAAACCATATTCTTTATTAGTAAAAATGAAGAGAACTCTTAGGGGCAGTAAAAATTCACAACTTGAAACAACAGACATAGTCTAAAGCATTTATAAGTAAAATATTTTTCACTTGATTCCAAGTTTTCTCAGCATTCTATTCCTTTTTCTTTTATCCTTAATTTTGTATTTTTCTTCCCAGAGCTATACAGCTGAAACAGCTTTCATCTCTTGGTATTACAAGGCCTGTCTCCCATCTCTCAAAACACATCTTCCATTATTTTTGTTTGTTTGCTTTTCTCCTCCTCTACATGTGGTCTTGCACAAAACATTTTCCTATTTGCATTTTATCCAAGTTAGATCATGGATTCCTTGGGACAGCCTGTGCCTTCCTAATTTTATAAGCACTGTGCAAGTTAAAACATCATAAAAACAGGTAATGAAAAGGAAGTACACTATTTAAATTATGAGCTCTGAAACTTGTAATAGATTACATTCAGAAAATTCAAGAGAGGCTGAACAGATTATAAAAATGTAATCTCAAAGATTCTATAATGACAGTCCCTTTCAACGATACACGTTTCTGACAGACTTATTTCAGCAAGACAGATGCACATAAACACCTCTTGGAAATCAGAAAGACGCTTAAAATGGAATTGCATAATTGGATGAGACAACAAAAACAAGTTTACTTTTGCTCATTAAAATATATCAAACAACTGAATTTTGAAAGCTTCCACAATCATTTCACTTTACCTGTTCAAAAGTCTGTCCTTAACTACTGAGGAAATAATATGGTCAAAAAGCCTCAAAAGAAAAATCTAGATTCCTGGAAGTACTCCAATGGCATAACATCAGACATGGAAGAGAATGCCGAAAAGAGACTAATCTCCATGAGGGTGAGGTTGAAAAGAACATAAATGTTTTTCTTTAGGCATTCTGGAATTCAAAACACCACTCGAACTAGGTCAGTGCCAACGTACTTTGCCCTGACAAACACAGGAAAAATGCCATCTGGCTATACATACACACTTGTTCTAGAGATCCTGAAAAGTTACAGTAACTATGACATTTTTGAGACCCCATTATAACAGTGTCACAAAAATAAAATAGAAAATAAATAATAAAATTCAGTGTTAAAAAGCAGAATATCAATTCCAAAAAATAACTTAGCTGGACATTTCTTACTGTTTTACGGACAAATCAGATCATGTTTAAAAATATCTTTCTGAGGAAAAAAATTAACCGGACAACTAATTTACAGGATGAAAAAAAAAGAACTCAACAGGGATCAAGTTCTGTATTTTGAGAGGGTACCTGTCAATAGCTTGAAGATCATTTGCTGGGTTCCATGTTGGATCGAACAGTATAACAACGTTGGCACCAACGAAATTGAGACCTAGTCCACCAGCCCTAAGGAAAAAATAAAGAAAAAAAAGCTATCCAATAGCAAGAAAACTAGTATCATTTTCTTCAGCGTATTACGTTATAATCCACATTAGCATACCATCTCAACCATTATAAAACAGCACAACCGAAAAATTGGAAATAGCGAGCTACAACTTTGTGCTAATGTTGTACTAACAACCACCAAACACTCCAATAACCACTGCTGTAAAATGTAGTCTTCTCACCTTCAAAGCAAGACGACTTCTAAGAACTGTATGAACAATTCAGTCAAAATAGCTGCTATCACCTTATCTTACTAAAAGTACTGTCTACTACTTCATGCCCACAGTGACTTACAAGGGCCAACTCCCTCAGGGAATATAGTGAAATTGATAACCATTTTACAACAGCTAACATTATAGAAGTATGACGCCAACAGAAAAACCATAGCTAAGATAAAGTGGGACTTAGAATCTGCATTAGATTTTAGTACTTCTAATCCCAGTACATACTTTTGACAGTAATGCTGTGTGGCTTGCACTAAAACAGTCATCATCTAGAATATCTCATATCTATTCTTGGTGAACAAACAACTGTCAAGAGTATATTCTTATGCTATATTAGTCAAGCGTTAGCTACCCAACTGGCCACACAGCTGCATATGAGCAGCATTACTAAAGGTCATTACAAGGAAAAAGATTTGCAATTGTAAGCAAGCCATCTATGCTGGGGAGAAGCAGTTGCAGCAGTACCAGTGACATCATCTTAAACATTTAACAGCTGTGGAGTGCTTTCAGATAAAGCCTGCAAGCCAGCAAGGAATTTAAGCATATGCTTAACCTGAGGTAGCTGACTAATACCCTTGCTGAATCCAACAAAACTGCTCAGTTACTTAGAGGTTGGCACGTGTGTAACTGACTCATTTGATAGGAACCAAAGTGAGGAAAATACCACTTTTCATCAAGTTGCGAAACAAACAAAGACTGAAAATTTTTTTTTGCCAATTGGCTCAATCAACATTATTCCAAAAAAGACAAAAGTTTCTTTCTACACAAGCACATGCAAAATACTGTTATTTAACTGTTAAAATAATTCTCTACATTGTCATAGGTAGTGGTAATTTCAAACATGGAAATTTTCTCAAAGAGATATTACAAAATTGAAGAAGTCGATCCAATTTAATTTACAGAATCACAGAATGGTTGAGGTGGGAAGGGACCTCTGGAGATCATCTAGTCCAACCTCCCTGCTCCAGCAGGGTCCTCTAGAGCACATTGCCCAGGATCACGTCCAGGTGGATTTTGACTGTCTCCAGGGAAGGAGACTCCATAACCTTGGTGCGCAACCTGTGCCATTGCTCTGTCACCCTCACAGTCAAGAAGTTTTTCCTCATGTTCAGATGGAGCTTCCTGTGTTTCAGTTTGTGCCTGTTGCCTCTTGTCCTGTCACTGGGCATCACAGAGAAGAGTCTGGCCCCATCCTCTTGACACCCTCCCTTCAGATACTTGCACACACTGATCAGATCCCCCCGCAGTCTTCTCTTCTCCAGGCTGAAGAGGCCCAACTCTCTCAGCCCTTCTTCAGGGGAGAGATGCTCTTGTTCCCTAATCATCTTTGTAGCCCTCCGCTGGACTCTCTCCAGGAGGGCTACGTCACTCTTGTAGTGGGGAGCCCAGAACTGGACACTAAATACCTCTTTTGAATACATTACTTTGTATTCTCTTAAGCTTGTTTAAAGCAGTGAGAAAGGTAAGTTCACAAGGAAGTGAATGAATGGGGGCAGAAACTAGAAGCTTAGGGGCCCCATGACCTTTTGGTTTTCATGGAATCCTTATTAATATAAATACAGTTGTAGCCCTTTCCTTCCAGGTGTGGTGTGGTGTGGTGTGGTGTGGGGTTAGTTAAAACTGGAAGTGGAGAGGATGTGGGAACCTGCCAATATTAACGGAGGTTTCTGGAGGATGAGCGTTCTCAAAGTTTAAAATACTGAATACAAATCTTTGTATTTTTCAGAAGGCACTACTGTATTTTAGAATTTTGGTGTATTTCTTAAAGGGAGGGCAGAATTCAGCCTTTCTTTTTACCAATCAACCCTGCAGTCAGACTGAAACATAAGTCAACATATTTTTCCACATGATTTCTCATTGAAAAAAGAAAATCACAATGTTCAGACCTGAAATATGAAATAAACCTCAGTGCAAAACCTTAGTGCAAGTAAAACAGACTAACTATGACAACTAACTAAATAGGGTATGTAGCTTTATAACGATTTTACCTTTCAGTATTTTTAGGCATGCCACAAAAAGTCAGATACTCCAAAACAGAAAAACAATGGGTCTTATACCCTTCTTGGACAGAATGAATGCAGTAGTTAGTTTCTGCACTGTAAAGAATATCTTCCATTTTAAGAACCATTTTAGCCAGTTGCTTAAACCAAATTATTAAGATGGCCCTTGCAAGTTACTGTACTATGGCTCAAATGAAGAGCTCCCTATTAAAGGTTGCATATCATTTCTGTTACAAGCAATTGTTTTCAAAAAGAGTATGTTAAGACTGCGCACCCTGGACTAAATAAATGACTTGTTTTTATATCCTATCACTGTCAGTTTAATACCACAATGTTCAAAAGTTACAAAACAGTATGGCATTAGAAAAAATTTCCATGGAAGTTGTGACCAGTTAATTTTATTTACTGAGGTAAATAAGTTTTTTTTTTTTTTTTTTCCTGTTATTTTTTTTTCCTGGGGTAAAAAACCCTTTTTTTTTTTTTTTTCCTGTTTCAGTGAAATCTTCTGGCTAAGAGTTCTTTGAATGAGAGTATACGAGTATTAAAAATTATTGACAACATAGTGCTGCAGAATCCAAGTGACATGAAACATGGCAGAAGTTCAAAATAATGGACAGCAGCCTTGGAGAATGCTGCAGGTAGAACGGAAGCATATACTGTAACTATCCACGAAAAAAAATACCTGCAAACTTCTGTAACCCTTATCTTCATTATCTAAGCACTTTGCTAAACATCAAAAAAGGAAACTGAGAAGAAATGGGTTTAGATTAATTCCTTCAGAAAAATTATAAAGTGAATAAAGACTAGTGTTGAAAACTTGGTGAACAGTGATTTAGCTTTACAGATGGGACTATTAGCTACTCTTGCTTCTTCCAGAACCGTATGATGGGAACAGGACTACCCAGACTCCAGTGTCATATGCAGTTCACCTCTTCAGACTAAGCAGCACCAGTGGAGTTGCAAGCTCTGACATTCCTCTGTCTCATTAGCAACTTCAGCAACTATTTTAGTGTTTGTAATTACAACCAAAGGGAAAAAAAAAATCTGAATATCTTAAACAGAGATTTTTTTTTCCACCATGAACCTTAAAAGTTCCAACAGGACTATACGTATTTTTGCATAAAACTAGATTGAAATTCATGATCTAAACCTACTGGTCTGATGGAATTAACAAACTCTGCAGAAATCAACAATATTTTCTTTCAACATCTAGAGTTTTGCAAACATTATGGATATCTGTACAACTGTGATCAATACTGTCATTAAATACAAGACTGGAGGTCAAGCTATAAAGATGCAAATTCACAAATATTTTTAAAAGCTTTATTGTTTAAATCCCACTTTTCAAAACATCAATCAATTAAAAAATCAGGATTTCCAAAATGTTGGTCTGTGGGCTATACATAAGCAATCCCAGGCAGAAAGGGCACATTTTGCCAGTATGACAAATGGAATATAACACAGGAATATTGCAGGTTTAACAGTCATTACCACTGTCTGCATTACAGTGTAGTAATTTATAGATTGGTGCTACTTGTTTAAAGTTGTATGTTAATGGTGCAAGTGAAATAAAATGGCAGGCTCAGAAAGACTATGCTGGGAATTCACCCTTTGCAGAAGGCATTTTTGCAGCCAAAAGAATGTGCAAGTGTTTTCACTGAAAAGAGAAAAAAAAAAAAAAAAAAATCAACATTTGGCTCTTTGAGTAATGGGGCTTTCAGAACCCATACAAGTTGAATGCACAGAACAGTCAGCCAAAAACTTTGCAAGAAAGTGCAGACAGAAGAGTATGACCCAATTCTGTCGGATTACTATGTGTTGAGAAATAAAGAAGATACTGCAAAGCCTTAGTGTCTGAACTCTGAGTAGGACGAAATAAGAATCTCTTTTAAAGGGGAACTGCAATAGATCACTTTCTGATTTCCAAAAGATTACAAAATTAAAGTTGGTTCTACTACTGTACATCAAGCAAGTAGAAACACCCCTTCTCGTCAACTCTAATAAACTACACTAAGAATTGCACCTTCTGTTTCTCTCAGTAAACACAGGTTATGCTGACTGCATTTTGTTGTTTCTTCCTTCTGTTTCCTCAGTAAGATGAGAAACACTAAAAACAGCAGAATCAAGGCTCTGCTTTCAAGCACCACCAGCAGAAAACTCACCAACCTCTGCATTCACAAGCTCTTCTAAAAGGGAGGAGAAAGTCCCTCTTTGCTTAACTGTGCTTCATCTTATTCCAATATAAATTAACAAAAAAGAACAGAAAAGGCTATGGTTATGAAAGTAAACTAGACCGATAAAAACAAACTATCAAGTCCTTTCTAATGCTACAGATGCAGAAATTCCCTGCTGTTTTCAGGGAAAAAGAATTGCTTAGCCTAAAGAAGGTCTCAGTGAAGCTGAGGGCCAGCTGCTATAATTCACTGAGATAACAAGCAATAAAGCAAGTTTGCATGACTAGCATCACAAATCTCTTTGTAACCCTGCCCACATATACCAGAGAGTATCTGAAGACTGTTTCTGATGTGCACCCACCTGCACTGGTCTTTAAGATGATGTCTGACTGCTAATTAAATGAAGTTAGTGTGGACTGGTATCTCCTCTTAACTCCAACAGGCGCGTAAAGACAGAGGAAGTGACAGTACAGGCAACAGCAGCACTGGGTGCACGTTTCACTGAGTTTCCCTCTGAACAGAAAGATCTAGCTTCTCTCTGCTCCCTACTTGGTAACAAATTTTATCTAAGATGAAATATGGAAGTAACCTGAACAAAAATCATACTGAACGGTCAGAATATTTTCATTTTACAGTTGAACATATTTCGCTGTTCCAAAAGAATTCACTGTCTATCATAAATAGATGAGCAGATCTGATGAAATATATTTTTAGAAGTGTGCAGCAATCATCTTATATTGTTTTTCTTATATTTTAAACACCTATTAATAACAAGGTTAATAAATTACAAAACATCAAGAGAGAATTTTTCCATTCAACACAGCGTTTCCTATTCACACCCACTTACTAGTTCTACTAGCACAGTACAAGAGTCTATAGAAAAATAAAAGCTTTCTGCGGCTCATCACTTTATGTTAGTAACTGTTTCCTCACTCCCACAGCAACTGGAATTCTAAAACTGGGATTCAGAAAACTCACTTGCTTCTGCTCAGAGAGCCTCGAAAGCAGAGGAGAGGGGAAGGAGGGAAGTCTCCAGGTGTTTTAAGAAGCCTCAAGCCACAGCAGTGGATCTGCTTACTACCAGACAAAAAAATAATTCCCCTTCTCAAAAAAGTAATCCCTCACAAGGTCAATCAAGTAAAACATAGAGTAACCTATTTTCTAAACACTAGAAACACAGCATGAAAGAAAAGACAACAAGTTAAATTCTCTTACATCGTTGATACAAGGCATATGTTAATTTCTTGAGTGCTGTTGAACTCTCTTACAATTCTGATCCTATCTTCCGATTTTGTATTTCCATCAAGTCTTCGGTAATCTAGCCCAGATGCCATACAGTACTGTTCCAGCACATCAAGCAACTGAGGAGCGAGGGGGAAGAGAAAAAAAAAAAAATCAAGTACTTGCTAGTATCTTTTTGAATTAAACATAACCACAGAGGCTGTGTTTCTTTCCAATAGACCAAGCAACAAGAATGAGGACAGATCTTACCCATTTTGCTATCAACATCTTTGACATACCTTTCTCTACAGCTCTGGCTCTATGGCAGCCTAAGGTGATTAATTTTGGTCTGCAAGCATCTCGCTCTCTCCTCCAACCTTGGCTGCCTGTCCCCGGTCTGAGTGACGCAGAGCCAATTCAACTCAGTAAGCTGGCAGGCACCTTAAATGTTTTCCTGCCATCTTAGCAAGTTAAAACGGCTTGAAGTATGGTAAATGAGGTCCAGAGCCAGCACAGAGAAAGGAGCTGGTATGTACAGCCAGAGTTCAAAGGGAGGAGGTGAAAGACATTGCAGCAACCACAAGACAGGCTGTTTTCAAACACCATGAACCACAGCCTAAGCATTTTTCTAGCATTTTACCAATATTTTTCTGCTCATCCATCAGCATTTTACTACTGCATCTAAGTACTGAACTAAGAATCCTCCTTAAAGTCACAAAAAATCAAATCTTTAAGATTTGAACTGTCAATCACACTAATCTTTAATACTTTAGTGCTATCAAGTTAAATATTTAAATAAATATTTACATTATTACTATAAACACACTATATTACACGTTACAATTATGTATTACATATAATACATATTTACTATAATAGACATATTTATATTGTACTATAATGTTTAAATAAATGCTCTAGTTTGCACTACTTCGGAAAATTCATTATTCCTTAATAAGGAAATCACCTAGGACATCCCTAAAAGGGAGATGCACTCATCTGTAGCTTCAATTAAACACTTTTAACTTCAAACCAACTGGTGTAGTCAAGTCTCTGGGCTGACGTTCAAGCACTGCTGCTGGTCAAAAAAATCAGTAAAACAGAGGGAATTCAACTTTTCTGTAGTGCTAACACAAATACTGTATGACACTTCAGTAGTATTTTGTAGTGACACTGCTCTAACCCAAGATGCGTCAACTGAATTCAGCATGAGCCGTATACACCTGCAGTAATACAACAATTAAAAAAGCTCTAAGGAATGAAGCAGAGTGTTGTAATTTGCCATTACCATTGTCCTCAGATAACGTAAGGTTTCCATACGGTTCTGGGGCACACTGTCCTTCTCAACAGTATTTCCCATAGTATGAAGAGAAAGGAAATGTGGTTGACAGCTGCCAGTGTCCTCAGTGCTTTATACTTCAGAACTTACTGCTGCAGTTAATCAATAAAAATCACAGAGAGCTCACCTTTGTAGAAAAGGAGAACAGAAGAATTTTATCCTTGTTTTTTCTGAAGTGATTTAAAAGCTGCTGAAGGACCTGGAAATGAATCACAGAACAGAAATTAAGAGCCTCCATCTATCGGTCATCTCATATGCACATACTTTTGTCTTCAACCTTTAAGCAGACCACACTGCAACAAATTGTTTGCAAAGCTAAACATAGGCGTAACAAAAACACTTTTGTTAGCAACGTAATAAACCAAAAGCAACAGAGATGCTGGATCTATTCATTTTTCATTGAACTTCACTGTGGTATGATTACCTTTTCATAATGACATTACAATAGGTAAGTTCAGAAGTTATTTGTACTAATGCATATTTTGGTCTAGACTGCAAAAAATGTTACCTATGTGCTAGGTGAGGCTTTGAATCTTTAACAAATGCGCACAGTTCCCCTGAAAACAGGAAGGTCTATTTAAATTTGCTGTACTACATCTGAGTTCAGAACTTCTTGGAACTTGTCTTCTTAAAATAATCAGTGAGATGTACGTCCCTCCTGCTCCCACTCTCTTCTGTTACTCTGTTTACAGTAGGCCCCAGCTTCCCAGACTCTGCACAGACCTTGAAATGCCAATAATCCGCCCACACACCATGTTCTTCTGGTAGGGAAGCAAATAATCCAGAGCCTTGTGTATAATAGTGATACTGTTATTTTCAAAAGAAGCATGTCCACATCTGGCAATGGCAGCTCCAGAGCACCATGCAGAAGCAATACACAAAAGGGAAAAGAAGAATTTTCTGTACCACGTCTGTAGCTTTCTCCCACTGGGCAATACGTATTTTAAAAAAGTTATTTATTCAGTGATAAATAGTTAAACTGTTAATCAACATATTTCACTAAAACAAATCTTGGACAACCAAATAATGAGGAATGTTTACATTAATTTTACAGTTCTGGATAATATCTTGAATACAAAATAGTAATTCTACATCACTCACATTCCCTTTTGTATATACTAGTCAGACACTTACAAGTGAAAAAGAGGTATAAACAAGATAATTTTGGCTTGTTTCATTGCACAACAATATACAGACCAGGATTCACTTTATGGGCAAAACACCCACATCAGGTAATCTAACCAGAGTTAAATGCCTTATATTTGCATTTTGTTAGCCAAATTAAGAAAAAAAATGGATGAAGAAAGAGCAGTATGCTTTTAAAGCAGGAGGAACGTGGCTACTGTATTACTGTTGTTATTATGAAAGTACTAAGTATAGGTCGAATAATTAATTCCCTATAGGAGAACACACAAACAAATCCACCCAGTTTGTTTAAACAAAATGGATCAATGCCACGCCCATTGGGATTTCAGATATTCTGGAGTATAAAAAACAGCTCAAACAAGCAGAGAAAAGTAAGGAATAGTTTTACACTGAGGAGAAACAGACTATGCTTGCACACCAGGGTATTACTCTGAAAGTAGTTATTTTGCAAAAGAAACGCGTGATCATACTTAAGCAAAAATAATACGTTTTTTGGCATAGCCCACATGGATTTAAATGTATACCTCCCCATTACTACATATTACGATGATTTGTTTGACTGTGATAAAGTTTTACCTCTCACATCTGGGACCACCTTATTTGTACACAGCGGTCCATTCTAGCCTACTAAGATTAGGACTTCAAAGTTATGCCTGCTTTCCTGGGTTAGGATCATATTTATTGGTGGAAGTTATTATTTGCAAGGTACTCCCATAGACTTGCATTTTCCTCCTGAAATAATGATAGTATGTCAGGCAAAATACATAACCCAATCCAACGTGGTTATTCCTAAGGCAGGGGGAGAGCGAGCGTGTGGGGAGGGGGGAGAGCAGGAGAACTGCTTCCCTACCAGTTTTATCTGTGCTCGGTGAGAGAACAGAAAGGAATTTTGGCAGATACACTACTTTTGCACTTCTGGAAAACAACTGGAACTGCATAGCTAATAAGCTTCATTAATAAACCCCTGCCTATTTCTCCTTTTTTTCCTCTCTCTGGAAAAAATGAAAACAAATGACGCAAACCTTCCTTTTGCAGATATACTCATCTACAAATAATAACCTATGCCAAAATTTCTGTATACCCCATACTAAATTTTAATTAAATGGACCAAATAATACCTATTTGTTCCACATTACCACATAAAAGTTATAATACCATTTCAACTAACATCTAGAACATCTGTAACTTACAAAACAGAAAAATTCAACTGTTAAAGTGGAACAAGGTTATTAAAAACATTTCACTAAAATTGGTCTGTTATTTCCCAGTATGTCAAGAAAGAATATAAAGTAGCTTTCAAGTTCTAATATTTGATGACTCTTCCGTGCACTTTTTGATGGTAAGAGGCCTAAGTGAAAATTCTTCTAAATGACTTTGATCTCAGACTATAAAGAAGAAAACCATCCCAAACAGTTCCTTCTTTAAAAAATAAAAATAAAAAGAGAAAGAAGTTAGCCAATCTTCTTTCAGAAAATAAGCCTTCAATGCAATCTGTATCAGTATTACTAATAAACAAAAAAATCACTACCATACCAGATACATGTGAAACAATTTTTGGTATTATAATTATTTCCAAGTAAAATTTAATGGACTCAAGAACAACTTTATTTTTCAACGATGGCTACTTGGCCAATTATGAAAAACAAAATGTTCTCATTTTTTCATCTCCAAAACAAATGCTGAAAATTCCCCTAAACAGTTAATTTCTGTACTCCAAAAAAATAATTTTGAGATTATGTATACTACTACAGAAGGCTCCCAATATGTGTCCCATGTTAGATAAATGAAATTAATCACCTCTAGCTTTCAGTACAATGACAGGACGTTAAAAGCCCAACCATCTTAAACTATGCAGAGTCTGTAAACCTAGCATTAGGTATCACTCCTTCTTCCAGGCACAGAGGTATATGTTACCATACACTTCAGGATATTATGTCTGTGTTAAGACACATTTCCTGAATTGACACAAAATTCAAGTTCCCCTTAAAAGAGAAGGTGGATCTATTTCCATCAAAACAAGCAATTCATTCACTCATTCTTAGATAAATTCTAGCAAGTTTATGATGGACTGAAATAGACACTATGGATTTCTACAGCCAGGCATCAGATACACAAACACAGGAGTCACTAACAGTAGAAAGATATACTGTAAATCAACTGGGCTGTCATGAACACAGTTCTGCCTGCATTTTATACTTCATAAAGGAAAAAATAAAACAAAAAAACAAAACTCCTCAGAATATTACAAGGTCATAGTTTCTAACCCTGGAGAACAGGTGGAAAAGTGTCAGAGTTCCTACTGCCTAGTTCCTCTGCTACTACTATCACACTGCAGTGTCTGATCTGACCATTTTAAATAAGGTCATAGAACAACAAAAGTATCTGGAAAAAAATATAAAAATTTCTTTAGTAATTCCTTAGTGACTTGTCTATAGGAATTTATACTGCATTTCTCATCTCATCTACCAAAAAATGCTGAAAAAACACCTTGTTCTAGTTTTTGCAAAGTGGCATCCCGATCCAAAACAGATCTCTGGTGTGGTACCACCACCACCAAAAGAATGATTAAAAAACCGTTAGGCATACATTGTCTTACGTTCAATAGGTGAACGTAATATTGTTTTTCTAGAAAATAAATTTACCTTCATTTTTCCACTGTACTTCGGATCTGAAATTGTTTCAAAGGCTGCATCTTTGCTTAATTGCACAAAATCTGGAAAACTGGAAAATACCTGGTTGCACACCCTTTTGATATGTGCTTCCTGAAAGAAAAGCAGTATGTCTGAATAAGCATTAAATATTAGAGCTACATTAGCATAGTGGGTAAGCCATAAAAGGAGCTCAACAGGCTGAAACAGGTCATCTACTAAAGTAACTCAATCAGAAAAGAAGTTACATATTTTTATTTACATTCACAGTACAGGAGTGCTGAATAAAACATCTACCATTTTTCTCTTTATTAGGGGGGGGAAAAAAAAAAAAAAAGGAGGGTTCTAACCTGAAACCAATGATTCCAGTTACTATAGTAAGAAATGGCCAAAACTCCTGATCCTGGGCTGAGATTGCACTAGGACTGCTCAGAACTGTTAGCCTCAACTGATGGCTTGAAATTTGCATTACCCAACAGTTGTGTACCAGCGCTTCTGATACTCTTCTCTCCTTGAGCAGTTTCAACCGAAACATGTTCCTCATATTTTTTGGAGAAGCTCAGCTCTAAATATAAAATTCTTGAGAAACAAATATGTTCTAACTGTTCGTTATTCAGTTGTTTGCACAGAGGCCCAGCTGTTAGTAAATACTTTTCATAAATGAAACAGAAATAACATTATTAGAAATCACTGAAAATGACTCTATTTTAAAGCTTCCAAAGGTTTTTAGGAGCCTCATTTTCAGTTATTGAATACTGTTGTATAACATTTCTAGCTATTAAATAAGGGCTCCACCACGAATTACTGAATGGAAAAGGAGTTTTGCAATATATCTTAATTTCAGGGGTTTTTTTGTTTCTTTTTAAAGTCAAACAATCCAAAAACGTGAAGATTCAAACACCAAAAAGGAGACCAGCAACAATTTTTAGTCAAGAGTTTTCCACAAGTCTGCTTTTTAGGTATTTCTGAAACTAACCTGCTGCTTGCTAGTAGTGTCCATCTGCAGCAGTGCTGCATGATTTGCAACTTTCTGTAGGATTGTCAGGTAACTGAAACGCAGTGACTTAATTGTTTCACCATGAGCATTTGCCTACCAAAAAAAGAGAAGAACAATTGTGAGAACAAATACTCTTGAAAACAAGAAATATCCTAAAACAAATGCTGTTCTAACAACTTACTACACTAGCTTACTGCACTAGCAATTCTAAGGAGTATTAAAATTGGTTCCAAAGAGATGTACACTGCAGTTCTAAAGTAAAAAAGTAAGTAAAAAAACACAAAACTTTCCTCAGCTTATGATCTTACTAATAGAGAACACCCTCTCAAAAAGCCCAGCTGTGTTCACAGTTCGTTAAATATTACAAACGGCAAATCTACAGAACTTGCTAAGATAACCAAGCAGCCTTCAGTTGATAGAAAATACAGTAACTTTACAACTGATTTAAATGGAAATGAAACCAGACATTTCAATGACTTCTTACCCTATGACTGCTAACTTAACTTTTCTTTTCAGCAAAAATTTACAAAGTTTTATAAACATCTGAAGTAATATAATTCAAACAAGTTGAAACATTCTGTAAGGCTTTCTGCTGCTGCAGCAGCAATAGCATCAAATAACTATTTTTCTGGTTATGCCTGGCTGATATGACCAATACTGGTTTTCTTTTCCCTTCTCAAGTTACTAGATTTTATGGATAAATTTGGAATACTGCAGTCCATAAGGGCACTTACGCATCCACAGTCCTGCCAAACATCATTTGTTCTACAGCATTTTACTCTTCTCTACAAAAGATCATGAGAAACAGAAGCCTGCAAAGATCTAGTACTATATTCATGGAAAACCAAATTCTCACCACAGGCAATATCTTAAAGTACTAAGACGCAGAGTAAAACCAGAAGTGCTCTTACTTCAATAAATATTCCAGTAAGAGAGGGTAGGTACAGTTGTTGTTCTGGGGTATAACAAAAGAATATTAATAGGCTATAAAGAAGAGTTACAAATTCAGTAAAGACAACAATCCTTTGCCTACAGCATTAGTTTATTGGCAATGAATTAAGAAATTGCATCTAGAAGAAAGATTATATACCTTCCAGCCCACTACCTTGCTTCAATTCAGAACACTCTCCAGTGTATATAATTTAATGTATCAGTTTGAACAGATTGCTCTCTCACATAATATAATTAAACAAGAGACTTCTTCCTCCGATTTTCATCCTAAACTTTCTCATTCCTACCGAATGAGGCTGACAGAGATTGTTTTAATGAAAGATGTAAAAGATAAACTACATGATTTGGAAAAATCTAAACACAAGAACCAAAGCAGGCCAGAAAGAAAGTAGGGAAAAACAGAGTATGAGGTATATGCTAAACATGTCAAGTTAATCTCCATCCATTGAAACACAGAGACAAAACAAATAGCAAGCTAGATTAATCAAGTGTTACAACAAGTCCAGAGAAAATGGAAGAAATCTGCAGAGCTTATCACTTTAGTGAATAAGCTCTACTTGTGCTTTAAATTGGCTGCTATCAGAACTCTCCCTTCAGTGCAGCAAAGGGAACGTCCGTTTACTAGCAAAAGACAACCCCAACCGCAGTAACACAATCAGAGGCCAAACAAATCTGTTGGATCCAAGACACCTCTGGTTTGCAGCTTCTACGCTGACCAGTTGATCTGCATTGAAGCAGCACGTCTGACATACCAGACATACCGGCGCAGTAGGCTTGTCACCTTCAACTGTGTCACAGGCACACCTATTAATGCAACACATGTAGAACTTACTGCGTATCTCATGGCCATCTACTCAGGGCACGCAAAGCAACTTCGCTGTGCTCCTGAAGTGCCTGACTTCACTGTGCTTGTGATGCAATCCCATGCTTCTAAACAGGATTTCCCAAAAAGAAAGATGTGAGTATTAAACTCGTGCCCAGGTAATGGCCTGCAACCAGGCACCCATTTGCATCAGTCCATCATCATAAGAGAGTCTTCTGAGGAAATCCATCTACTGCTCAGACCGGGATGACCACATTGTGAAGTCCAGATTGAGGAAGTTCTTACTTTTTAACAACAGTTCTTCCTTTTACGGCCACTGCTGCAGCTACAGGGCTCTCCCGCTCGTAATACTAGGCTTACATCCTCTGTCTCCAGCACAGCCTGGTATACTGCTTTCTGGAATTCTGTCAGGGAACAGTACACCATCTGCCGAAGAGAGAACCCCAAATCACAATTGTGGGCAGCATACAATGAACGTTTTTTTTTCCCCGAAAACAGAACACCAGGAAAAACAACAACAACAAGGAAAGTATAGCCAAAAATACATCTCTTAATTATTTAACCCCTCCCAAAACACTGCAGAGTATCAATACTGAGCTACAACAATCTGCTGTTGGTCTCCGCAAATTTTTCAATTTGTAGGGTAGTTTGTTCTACCACAGGCAGAACAAATAAAATAGTTCAATCTAATGGCGGTCTGTGGCAGTCAGAGCAATGAGAAGGCAGGGATCTATACAGTAGTATGGTCAAAACTCTTATCCCTCCTCTTAGAGACCATGGGTGGCATCTCCATGACATCTTTAGTCTTAAGCAGCAGGAGACAGAAATCCCAAGATCATTCCTTAACCTAGGCCACCCACACAGCAGCAGCACCATGCTGTGCTATAATAATACAACAGTAACTTGAACATATACTCACATTAACAAGAGAATGAAAAGAATAAAACCTGCTAGATTTAGAAAAGCAACTGACTGATGTTTTTGGTAATCTTTCCTCTAGAAGACAGTTTAGATGACATTATTACACCCTAAGAATGAAGAACAAACACTAAATTTCGAAAACAAAAACAGATGCAAATGAACTTATTTATCTATTTAGAAGGAAAGCACAAATATATCTAACGAGCCTTCATCACTAACTATAGTCACAAAGTGTTTTTTCTTTACACGTTTACAACAACATCAGAGAAATAGGATTACCGACCTGTAACAACCAGCTTTAGATTTTGTTTTTTTTTTTTTTTTAAATTTTTTTTAAATGACTGGAAATAAAGGAGTTGGGGGAAAAAAAAGTTAAAAGCAAATTGTTCTGTGTACAAAATACTAGATCTCAAATTCAGAAGTCCTGCATAGAGTTTCAAGAGATTTACATACACTGCAGTGAATTTGTATAAATAATTACAAAAGTGCACATAAAAATGGATGTATAAATCACTAGTCAGAAGTCTAGCTGAGCATTTTCATGCCCAATTAACTCCATTTCAACATGCAATCACAGTGATTATGTGAACAAAGCACACTACTGCATGTGCATTTTTTTCAAGCCTCTGGATTCTTCCCAAGTTCTGAAGTCCAAAAGAAAACCATAAACTACTAGAGGAACGACGAAAGAGAAAAAAAAAAAAATCAAAAAAAAAAAAAACAAAAAAGAAGAGATATATTCACTGATGTTGTATTTGAAACAGGCAGATGCACTTACTCTGTCTTCCTTTTTTGGCAACTGATTGCTGATAAGAGCTTTAGTACGTCTGAGGAACCAGCCAGACATTTTACTTGCTAGCTTCAGCATGGCCTTGCGACCTGTTGCTAGCTCTCTTTTAGTTGCAGTGTGCCTTTGGCCATGCTCCACTGGATCAGAAAATTTCTTCTTGAAATGCATTCTAGTTCCCAAAAGTCCTGGTACTGCCCTACTTAAAAAAAGGGGGGAGGGGGGAGGAATACCAGCATTTTCTTTACTTCAAGGCAGACTATCCTTTTCCATTAATTAAAGGCATACCATAAATTGTTTCTGGCTAAGAGAGGTCTTAAATTAACTATCACTAGGGAAATGAATACAAGTTGTGCATATAAACAGCAACATATCTTATACTACTTCCAGATATTCAGCTTTTTCATCTACTCCTTGTGATTTTCAAATCTTAAAAGACAGTCTCCTAAGGAGAAGGGGCACCATCCCCCAAAAAAGTAAACATCAGCAGGCCAACATAAGTCACAAATATAGATAACCTCTAAAGAACAGGGCTGCTTTTATTCAGGAGCCTAAATACAAAACTGAGTAGTCATGTTTGCAATGGTTTATCCTTATTGTTTTTATTAAAAATCAGGTTATACAGATATTATAATTTAATTAAAATCTTAAGAAACCCAACGAGAAGAAGAATTTAGTAATCCTTCACAGCACAGTAGCTTGGAACAGTCTATTACCAACACCACCATAGTTTTAATGGACTGGATGCAATACTAAGCTTCACGTTGAAGAATTTCTTTCCTGACATTTAAGATAAGTTTGCTTTGTTTCTCCTCTGTAAAGCCTACCTAGTAATTCTATTCTGTTTGGATTTATATCTAGGCTTATCTCCAAATCCTTCTCTCCTTTAAAAATTTCCCAGGATAAGAATTGTTGTATTGTAAATATGTGCATTTTGAAAAAACAGCAAAATAATATTTTGGAGGACAAAGATATACAGATGTTTAACCATATAAAAAGATATTTTATTTACCAGTCCATGACACACCAAAGTTCCTTCATATTGTTTTGAAGAATGGTTCCAGTAAGACCTATGCGAACACTGCACTTTAATGCCTTCATGGTTTGGGTTACTTGAGCCTTTGGATTCTTGATTCTGTGTGCTTCATCCACAATGACAGCAGACCACTCTATGCTGCAGATCACCAAGAAATATAATCTTAACTGAAACTACTTATCCAACCATTGCACAGAACAGAGTCACATAAGTAATGGTGATTATTATAATCAAAATATGTGTTTGTTTTTCAGTATTTTACACTACTTTATATTACTCAGTTTCATTATATTCTATTTACCTAGTAAATTAAACAGTCATAGTTAAGCCTAATGGCTAAACTACATTGCCAAATACACAGAACTATTGCTGACTGTATGAAATATTTTCTGTGAAAGACAGCAACTTTCCACCTCTGGAGCTACCACCCAGCACCTTTTACCAGCACTAACTCCACTCATAAGTTAAATTAAAAAAATTTGATATATTTCTGAAAGAAAACTATTGAAACACGGTATGGGCAAATGACCTTCATTTTCCCAACAAAACCCCTCCAGTATAAATAAAAATAGACAGACATCTTTTCTGGCAGCATGGCGCCAACATGAAAGCACCATTCAACAACTCTGATAGACATATGGTACCAACAAGGCAGAGGAGCTTTAATATTTTGTGATTTTGAGACAAATAGGAACACAACTAGGAGCAGGGACGGAAAGATATTTTGCAGTCAGTTCAAGCACAGAACTTGGAGGTAGAATGACCTGTACCGTGATATTAAGTCATCAAGTCCCTAGAGAAAGATTGCTCATCACTCATATATATAAAGCCATCTCATAAAACTAATTTTAGAACACATTCATTTCCACTTTGACATTACTTCAAGAAGCAAAACAGAGAAACAGGCACATTTAAAAGGAAACTTCTTTCTTGAGCAAGTCCTTTGTGTTTTAGGTGACTGTTTTGAAGACTGAACTCGTAGCACTTTTGATGCCTGCTAAATAAGCTAGTGTATATGAAAGTGGCATTTCTGAAGCAAGCCTAACAGATTCACTTATAGCTACTTTAACTTAATCTCTCATTATGCTGATGAGCATGCAGGACAGAGCCTCTCTATTCTTCCTTTCTCTTTACACAAGTTCTCATATATCCACTCTAAAGCTTGGCTAATGAAAGAATATGAAATCACCTGTAAAGAGATTTCACAACTAACTTATTATAGAAGCTTGCATGCCAACCTAAGTGTCTGAACATAAGATCACGTCAAGCTATCAACAATGTCGGCCAGAACCCGCACAGCATTAAAATCACTAACGCTTATTTAAGACCAGCGCGTGAAGCCAATCCACCATTCTAGCTAAACAAGACGCACAGCTTCTGTCAATGCCAAGAGAAGTCTGTAGGACCACTTGGTCATGTGCTCTGCAGCAGTCTGTTCAGTCAACCCATACACTGAAGCAGTGTACTTAAGAGCACAGTTACCCCTCAGACCTGCTGTGTAAATATAAAATATAGGGAGTGCAGCACATGCACCTGTTTCCTGATCACTATTTGATGCTCAAGCCTAAAGAGTCCCTCAGAACGACAACAGCATGAAAGAAGGTGTTGCTAACCTCACACCCTTAGTACTCTTCTATGTGCACTTTTTATTCCCCAACATGAGCAAAGACAAGAGAGATGAAGACCCTCCAGAACACCAGGATGTTCTGTAGTCCTTTCCCACCACCTAACACAAGAAGGTCTGCCAGGCTGCTGAGAACACTAGTGGCTAAGGGCAGGCTGCTACTATTAGCAGAGCTATTCATACAACTTCCACTCTGCTTCCTAGATGAAATGAGTGAAGAGCACCACTGGGATCAGATGGGAGGCTAAATACTACAGGTCTACAAAGTTTAAGAGCACTGACAGCAAGAGGACAAATAAGGTAGGATTTCTAATACAACCTGCTGTCAGAAAGACTTCAATTCTAAGTCCATCAGGTATTTAAAATTATACACACATTTTCATATATACATACACAACACGCACACACACGCACCCTCCTTACATCTCAAAATTCTTAGGAGTCAGGAATTTCATTAAGCTTGTGAAAAGTCATGTGAAGTGTAAATAATGAGCAAAACATCTTGTGAACATTTGCTAAAAATTTCCAGAAACTTTTTTTCTTACACTATATGGAAAGATAGAAATACCTTCTGCATATCTTTAAGCTACCACGACTTTTCAGGGTAGGTGATTCCTGCAGCTTTTAAGAACATTTCATGAACTGGGTAACAGCAAAGACTACTAGCTACCTGAAAATATTTAACTTTCTTGCAGTCAACCTCCAGACTCATTAGACTTCCCAACCTTATATGCCATGCTGCAAAAGAATGAGTAGAAAGTTCTTATGGAAATATGAACTCTAAACACTTAAACACTTTCGTTTCCCCTTCCTTAGGGACCATGAAAAGAAGATTAATTTACTTATAATTTCAGCCTTCTGAAAAATATTTAAATACTTACTTTTCCTAAGCACCCCCCTTACAAAGATAGTATCTGGTAAATCCACTAAAGATAGGTTCTCTTCTTCCACACAGCAAATCATTGGATTTAACAGTAAATATACAGGAAGAATTACAAATATTTGCAAGAAACATTTAATATTAAACAAATAATTAGCATTACGGTTGCACAAAATACACTAAAATCTATACCTGTTAAACTCCTCCAAATAGAGGCGAAGTATCTCATATGTGGTAAGGGCAACTTCACATTTCCCTTGCCTGATGCGACTCAAATCGTCATCCTTTTTATTGCCATGCAGGATAGCGACCTTGAAGTAGCCCCATGTGTCTAACTCATCCTTCCAGTTGTACAGCACAGAAAGAGGGGCCACTATAAGGAAAGTCTGAAAACAAATAGCTGTTACAGTACTACTAGAAAATCTCCAGTGTAGCATTTTCTCAATAAGGAAAGTCAAAATTTTGAGTTTAATTCCACTGTTACATAGTTCGAATTTTGTTTAATTCTGTCACATTAGTATTTAATATATTTAACTACTGTTATAAGCATAGAAAAAAAATACCTAAAGAGTCAACAAAATAAAGTCAAAAATATTAAGCTTATTCACAGTGTGTAAATACTGGAGAAAAAAAAAACACACCCTAAGATACTACAAAAATACCAAAGCAATAGTGTTGCTTATTCAAATTATATTTTAATAGCATTTACATAAATTAAATGCATTTCCACAGGGAATTCATAAGAAACTGTAAGAAAGCACACAAGTCACTATCACTTTGCTTTGTTATAGCATCTGTATCCATATATCATAAAGCGTTTTATAAATGGGGAAAAAAGAAGCATGAAGAGGTTAAAAGCTTGCTCCAATTCACAAAGCTAGAAAATATACGACTTTAGAACAAAGTATCAGAACACGCTTAAAGGTTTAAGATAGCCTGTACAACTTATTTATCATACAATCATAAAAGCAGTCAGGTAGGAGGGGATCTCAGGAAGTCTCTATTCTAACTTCCTGGCCAAAGCAGGGGCAACACTGAATTCAGATCAGGGCTTTTAGGGCTTTGCGCAGTCAGGTCTTCAAAACGTCCAAGGATGGAGGGCAGTCAACCTCCCTAGATGACCTGATCTAATGCTTAGCTGTCCTCAGAGTTAAATTCTTCTTGTTTTATATCTGGTCAGAATCACTCCTCTTCGTTCACAGAAAGGGCCACCCCTTCACCTGTTCAGCTCAGAATTATAGTTGTATGAACCATTCTGCCCATTCAAATATCCCAATTATTCTAATAAAACAAAAACAGCAATAAAATACACAAAATTGAATGAGTCCTCTCACGGCTAAAATTAAAGTGATCTTCAGAGCTCTTCTCTTCATATAGAATTTTTACACACATCTCTATTTGCTATAACTGTATTTGATTATCAGAAACAATCAGCTTTATTTCTGACATTATGATACTCATTCAAGAGAACACTTGAGCTCATAAGAACAACATTAACAATAAATTTTCCAAATATATGTTTTCCTTGATTATTTAAACACTCTGTTAAAACATTTGTTCATATAGATATACACACGCTTTTTGTATCTTAGAAACACGATCACGCAAAACTCTGCTACTCAGTGACACAGGCTTTTCAAAGTAGGCTTGCAAATATCTGGATGAGGTTCGTGGCTAACGGCTTCTGTTAGTACAGACTGACAACAGTAATACATTGGATAGTAACAGCTAGAGGAATGCGCTGCGACAATTTCAAAATCTAGAGGCTGCGCTAACACTGCTTAAGGCAGCCAGGAACCTCTGATCTACACTAAACATTAAAAACGAATGTATGTAAACTCCTAAAACAGACAAACAACAACAGTATTGTGTTTTACCAAAACCTTTAAACTTGTATCAATGAAAGGTGTACCTTCTTAGGGCTACACTTTGATTCTTTTTTCTCTGCTCTCAGTAAAAATTCTGGCATATTATTTTCAATATCTTCACGTGTTCCCTTTTTGTGCAGCACCGCAGCTAGAAACGAAATGACCTCGAGAGAAAAAACAGTTCTCAGTAATCAGGTACAAAAGGCAAACAGAAAGTGAACTTCTTCTATTGCAAGTAAACATTTAGGACAAGACCCTGAATTAGACTTAATAAATTTTTTTTTTTTTTAATTGACTTCAATTTTTAAAATAGGAATCCCTCCTCTCTGGAGGATCCTGCATCTGTGAGAAGTGCACTTTTGCTCAGTTTAACACTTTTGAAATGTTTTCCACTTCAATGACTAAAGTATGGAGAAGATGATAAAGGAGCCCTGAAAAAATAGAGATGAAACATGCCTGAGAATTTTCCTGAAAAGGGATGGCACTTGAATCTTGGACGAGAAAACAGAAGGAAGAGAAACTTGCTAACTTTAGTCCAACACTACTTCTGCAAAAGCAAGAAAAGGTTTACACTAGAGGTTAGATTCTTAATAATGTGATAATAATGATTCTTAACCTAGTTTCACGTATATTCCTTTCCTTCAAATTTCTGCTGTCTTCAAAATCAGGTTTTTTTCTGTTGTTTTTGGACCTATTATTCAGTCATCTGCCTCAACCCAGCCACTGTCTGGTGATTCTTCTTTCCCTTTGATTATGGGATATTTATTAGAAGACGTTACAGTGAGACAAGCAACATGACCTGGGCTATTCCAAGCTGCTCCCATGGCAAGCAGAAGGCAGAAATATGTGGCCAGACCACTCATACTTGTAAAACCCGCTCAGGGTAAACGGTATCCATGGGGCTAAATAGTAGCAAGAAACAGATGTGCTGCCAGATAGAGGTGCCCTGCTTTTGGAAATTCAATGGGCCCTGTTTACTCAGGGCAGTCAGCTATAGCCCCTTCCCTTGGCAGCTGCTACACAGCTGCTCACAGCAGGGCCGGGGTAAAGCTGTCAGCTGTTCCTTTCCAAAAACAGGCAGCCAAAGCTTTCTCACTCCAGTGGGGGGGGAGGAAGGGCCAGCCAGGAGCCCAGAGCTGACAGAAAAATACCTAAGAGTGGAAGTAGAAGAGCAGAAGAGAGGGAAACCCATCACATATGGGGCAGCTGGATGAGAAGTCATGTGGAAGAGAGAGAGGAAAAAAAAGGCATTTCCATACATAACGCTTCATAATAAACTGAAGCTAGAAGGCTACTGCAAGTTTGCAAGTGTTGTTTATTTCAGTATCTTTTTTAATCCTTTCAAGAATAAGAAGAATATTCAACAAAACATAAAATTCCATGTGTCTTCCAGATTCTTCTCTTCTGGAAGAATTATGCATCACAAATCTGTAACTAAAGCAAAGGCTGTAAAAGAGGCCAACTCTATGGAGAAACCTTTGGCTCTTCCAGGCAAAGCAGGAGGCAATCCAAAGGCCTTGACAGAAAACTCAGTGCAATCACGATTAAAAAAAGTGTTAAGTTTCTACTTGTCTCCATCTCAGCCTTAGCTTGAGAAGAAAGAGCCAGACAGCCAAACCAATTTAAGCAAAGATCCGTTGAGAAGTAGAAAGAACATTACAATGCAAAAAGCCTTCTACAAAAGCCCTTCTCCCAGAAATCGTGCTATAATTTAAGACTGGAAAGGTATGGTCAATTGACAAGCATAGAACACATTTTCTATAAGAATGTAAATTAGTTAACTATTATATAATGAATTTAATTAACATTTCATTTATACATACTAATACTTCCTAAACAAGTGAAATCCTCTCTTTCTTCAGATCCACTGAACTGCCTTCCCTATACTGTGAACTTTAAGAACACAAATACCGTATTTCTTAAATAAATAAAATACTCTTCAAAAATATATTTTTCTTCTGCAAACTTGATATTGTTATTAAACAACCATCAGACAGGAATTTCACCAAGGAATTCCACAAAGGAATACACGATTGTTGCATGATAAACATGAGAGGGTCATTACAAAATCAGCTCTGATATTCAGAAAATACAAGAGAGAAGACAGACAATTCAAATTATTTTTGCAATCTGCCACCATCTCAAATCAATGTGTATTACTACACTGAATCAAATATTTGCAATTCTGAGTACTTGCATACCTAGAGTTCTTGTCCGTGGTAGTTTAAGAAGTGGCCAATACACATATTTCCTATTTGCAACAGAGTGATAATAACAACATGGAACATCTTAACGCTTTCCCCAGAAATGGGAATAAATGAAACATCATCCTTTATTTCCCAGTAGAGCCAAACCATTTGTTTTCAGGAAAAAGGCAAGACATTTAAACTGCTGTGGTCAGGTAAGAGGTGTAAAGTACTTTTAATATACTCCAATGTGAATTACGTTGATGATGCACAAGTATTAATCCTCTAAACACAGTCAGTATAAAGTGAACAGTAGCACTTTAACTATTATAATTGCCCAGCCTTAAAGTAAGAGAGACCACATCCCAGTTCTGTGGCCTGAGAGGAGGGGGTCTTAAATCAGCAACAGCTCCTGGCTCTAAATCCTGTCCTGAATGATCATGTTCTGCCTCCTCCAACTCTCTACCAGAAAAGGAAGGCTAGACTCCGCTGAGGGAGCCTTTCTTAAATTATTTATTTGGTATTTATGTCTCACAGATAACATACTCCCAAAGAAAAAAATCCATTCTCTCAGTGTAACCATTAAAGAAAAAAATACCTGTATTGTTTTTCCAAGGCCCATATCATCTCCAAGAATACAGCCCCTTTTATTAGCATAGTGTCCATACAGGAATTGGGCTCCTTCCCTTTGATAATCACGCAGATATCTGTTAATTGTATACGGGATACAATCCCCATTGTCAGATAATTTAAAAGTTACTGCAGGAGATGGAGGATTCTGGTCAGGAAAATTAGGCTTTTCCAGATCATCATCATCAAATATAAAGTTTTTCCAAGGACCTTTACTGGCTTTTACTCTATGAAGTTTCGTTATTAGTATTTTCCTTTCTTCAGACTCCAAGAACGATACAACAGCAAATGATTTCCCATTCTTGTCCTTTTCAATAAACTTTATTGTTCCTTCATAAAGGTTCCCATTTTCAAGACAAGGGGCAAGGCATTTATCTCCAACGTGCCATGTATCTATGAGGAAAAACAAACAAAAAACACAGTGAAAACCTGTCCAAACGTATGAAGTATTTCATTTTCTCACTCTAATCAAAATATTCAATACAAATTTATCTGATAAAATGCAAACAGCATAAGATGCAAGATTTTATTGAAGGAAGCACTAAACCGATGGTATTGGTTACAATTTTGAATCAAATCCTGAGCTACATATAACATTATAGTTTGCTAAAACAGTGCTATTTTGGAAACACCTGAAAGTCTGTATTAAAGAATCTGAGGTAGAAAATAAACTCTGATACACTAAGCTATTCCATGAAGATTTCCCTGATGCCCACACAAACAAACATGGCTATGTGATGCCCGAAGGTTTAGAGTCCAATTAATAAACCAGATGACTTGGTCAAAATGACCTTCTATATTAGATGCACCTTTTGATCTACTTGCATCTAGTATTGCAACTTCAATAAATTATTTCACAAACGTAATCAAATATGAAAACATCGTCCTTCTCCTAAGGAAGTCTAGCACAGGTGAAAAAAAAGTTGACTTCCGGAGTAACAGAGGTGTGCTTTAAAAACATATGGTAGC